ATTATTATTATTATTATTATTATTATTATTATTATTATTATTATTATTATTATTATTATATGTAATATTAATATATTACTATGTACTGTGCTGAACACACCTGTCAACTACATATGTGGTTATTACATTTTTATTCGTTCTGAATAACAGTACGTGCCCTAGTAAAAAACAAATCAACACAGCTCTAAACTCGATCATGTACACTACCTTTCCTCCAACAGAAACAACAAACCTAAATGCAATTAACCTTTCAGTAATTAGATATCAGCAGTCATAATGGGTAACGCTTGAAATATCTTTTTCTCTAAAAGTACTTGGTATCTAATGTTCAAATATACGCTTAACTTTGTTTCTCATAACGTCCCTTAGCCCCTGTTTCCTCTGAACCCACAAACATGGTGTAAACATTCCTCAATCAAATGTTTGCAAATGATCTTGGAAAATCATATTTAAAAAAATCCTTTTTTGTTCAGAAATGGGGCGCTGAGGATAATAATAACAAATCTCAACCGACCTCGGTTGCGTAGGCTTCCGCGGTCGGAGTTTGAGTTATCGATAACTCAACCGACCTCGCATTTTAAGATAGAAGTATGACGGTTAACTTCTGTCATGTAGCTATCTTATGCTGTAATACCAAATGAATTGAGATATAGCAAAACACTTAAAATCTACCTAAAAAATGTGTCCGGAGTGAAAATGAACGTGAACGAAAACAGAAAAAGTTGTTTTTCTCAAAACGAACTGCGGTTGGGATATGCTGTTATTATTCTGAGCGCCTCAAATGTTAAGTTAAATTCTTAAGATCACTCCTGCTATTCAACCAGGTGTTAAAACAGTAATTTTGAAAAACAATTTGTAGGTAGTAGGCTTGTATGAAGTGCTCCTTTCCCCTTCTATTTTTGAAGAATAAGCATAACATATTTTATTACTTTCTTTTCTCGCAATTTTTGCTGAGTAACAAGTTTTTTACAACAATCTCTCATCGCATTTCTTTGAGAATTGCATATCACTGAAGATTTCAAACTCTCTTATTTGTAAATAATTTACCGGAAATATTGCCAAATATTTGTAAAACGTCTTCTAGAAAATACTTCCATATGGTTTGCTGTCAAAAAACTCCTCGAAAGCGCTTCCTGAGGAACTGACGCTTTCATGCATCCATTTGCACGATTGACATGAACAAATTTATTCAAACTTTTTTAATAAAAACGACAGATTCTACCCATCCTGAAAGCGAATGTTTGAAAATCACAAATTTTTAACTGAAGTTTCGCAACAAATGGACAAATCACTAGAAATATTTTTTACGAAACATTCTGCTTCGTATCAAAAGACTGAATTTGACAATCCTGAACGTGAATTTTCTCTTGCATTCAAAATCGGACGCTTCTCTAAATATCATCGATTGTTGCTAATATTATTTCTTATAACAAAACCATTTGGGATATAACAAGAAACATTTTCTTTGAAGGTCTTACCTTGTGGAGGGTTCAGAATATCTGGATGGCGCTCCACCGTTTGAATGCCACCGCTATTCACGCAACTTTCTCCTTCGTCGCTGTCTCCACATTCTGTTCTGGTCTTTAAAGTGTACGAGACAACATACCTGTGTTCTCCATGATTTATCTCCAACATAGAACTATGTCTTACAGGCTGGGAGGTTTGGACCTTGGGGAATAAGAAATCATTTCATTAGTGGAATTGAATCAAGCATTAGCAAACGATAGCTTTTAGGTACAGTTCATATTCACAGAAAGCCAAATAACAAACGAGCTCAACTGGAGATTTTATTTAACATATACAAGATATTTAGAAGACTAAAATATTTCAAAGAAAGACAGTTTTGTGAACAATATATCGCTGGGAAAATTATCTGCTAGGGAATGTATTCATAATTAGCTATGACATTTTTTTTCTACATTTAAGTCGTATGTTTGTCTTAATCGACTAATAAATGTACTTAATAAATAACTTAAATATTCATTTATACACTAAAAAGTGGAAGTGCCTCCTAAAAATTTAAAACATTTTGCTTCTGGAATTATATCGTTCGTTGATTAAAAAAATAGTTAATAGATATTTGATGATTAATACAGGTAACAAGGAATATATTACAATCAAGCTTTGAAACTCTCATATTTAAGAGTTTGAGAACTTGTCTTTTTTGGGTTGCTTGATCACAAATGAGAACATGTGTACACATGTCTACAAATGAGTAATGAAGAAATGAGAATTGAATTATCAAAGAAATAATTAATTCCCTTTCCAAAACATTCTTCTCAATGAAAATATTGATCTGAAATAGAGGAGAAATGTTACTAAGACCTACGTTTTTTGTCTTGTTATATAAATGTGTTGCTATTTTGAAGAAACGTCAAAAAAACTAGAAATAATCGAATAATGGATTTAGGGAAAGCTTTAGAGAGAGAAAAGAGATCAGTTTTATTTTAAAGAAAGACAAAAGCTTTAGAAAAAATTAATTAAAAATGAGTTTTCAGAATTTTCAAAATATGAAACACTTGAGTACAATATTGAGATGGTTGGTTTTAACAACTAGACGACAGATTTTAGACTATGTATTATTCCACACTAAAGTTTGCTTTAAACTGTTTGATATTTTGGTTTTTGAAGAAATTCACATTTTTCAACAACAGTTTTTGAAATTAGTGTACTTCCAGCAAGAAGTGAATCTCATCTTTATTCCTAAAAATTACTCTTAGGGCTTTTCGCTGCTTAGTGAATATTTGGTCATCGTTTCCGGAGGTGAGCGCCAAGAATTACTTCAAAAATTGTGTAACTTTCATAATTAACTTATCCCTATTGTCTTGCGAAGGGATGACATTGAAATGTGTTGTGGGACAACAGGGGAAAATATGCACGTAATAGTTTGGTAAGTTTTTATCTCACCTTTTTAAAACAATGAACAATAGAACCCGGTTGCTATTTTTCCAATGCTCAAATAATTTGAATGGATGACCCATACTTTTAGGATAGTGCTATCTTCTTTTTCACGCATCACTGCAATTAAAATAAGGCAAGAAACAAGAAAGAAAGGAAATACACGGACAGGTGATATGTTCAATATCATATCAAGTCACAACGAAAGATTTGTAATACAGTGCACTGGCAAACATAATCAAAAGGAAGACAGGTCAGGGATGAACACTACATTTGAGACGCTAAGAAATGGACGCGGTGCTGGTTTGCGTGATAGTGACATTTGCAACAAGAGGTCCCATTTAAATGTGCTCTCAAGGTGAAACTGAGTTGAATTCTACAATTCAACTTCCAAATGCTTTGTTTCATTCATGATCTTGATATGTGCTGTAGCAGTCCATATTACAAATTTCCAATCTGCATAGAAACTGAATGAAAACTATGGAGCCTTCGCCCATGTAAGATGTGTCTGTGGTATCGTTAGATACATCCCCCCCAAAAAAACCCAAACCAATGAAAGTTTCGATTTTGTCTGAAAAAGCAATTACTTTATTATGTCATTGCGTCTTTGAGAATAAGCGCTGTCCGTGTACTGACTGCATTCTCATACTCAATGCGTCACAGCTTATGATACAGCTGATGTTACGCGACCGAAAGGTTTCAAGGAAGAGGCAGCCAGCCATGAAATATTTTGATTTTTGGGGGTACTTTAAATGAAGATTTAACAACCATTAAAATTTACTTAAAAATAGCTCCAGTGTTTTTTATTAAATTGTTTCCTGGGATGGAGCAATCGAAGTGGCACAGGTCTTATTTTCGTTGAACTCTGAATTTTTGAAAATTACAAAATTTCAGAGTTTTATGCGGCGCCTTCCTATAATATTAAAGAGAGAAATTTTTCCTTAATGAATTGTTTTCCAAAGGCAGATCTTTAAGGAAGATCATGTATATTTTTTTGAAAATATGAGTAGTTTTCGCGCAATTTATGCTTCAAGTAAAGATAATAAAAAGTTAAAAAAGGCACCAAATTGTTCCTTAAACTTTTTCTCGTCCCACTTTCGGTGAGCTCCCAGAATTTTAGAACAGTGTAAAAAATCACAAAACTACAGTATTGATGATATAGATTTTTTCCTCAATGAAATCTGTTCTACACTAGTGGTACTATAACACATACTTTCTATCATTAGTAACGGTTACGTAATATTATAATACGGCAATTTCTGTCCGTCCATCTCATCCACCACTTGTAAAACTCAGAACCAAACGTAGCGCATGAGGTTTGAAAACATTTTTTTAAAGCTAATACAACAACACAAATTCTACAACCCGAAACTGCGCTTTATACAGCGAGAAACATTATCGCCCAACATTGAGAAATAATTCCAAGAATATCAAACTACCGTGTTGTGGTGCGATTTTGCCATTGCGTTGTAACCTGATATCTAACGGAATTCTCTCTTCAGCACAAGTAGTGCGGAAAAATTCGAATTTGTAATATCGAATATTTTCAAAAATTACGCGAAACTACTCATATTTAAAAAAAAATGTATGATCTCATTTGATGATCTAGTTTTGAAAGACAGATTTCATTAAGCAATATTCATTAAAAAAATATGTATAATCAAGTTCTGCAATGTTAATTTTTTGCAACTTTTGAGAATTCGAAAAATAATTAAAGAAAAAATGTGGAGTGGTGTTTGAGAAAATAATTTTTAAATTACCTTTATTTTACGTATAATTACGCGAGAACTACTCATATTTTCGAAACATTGTACTTGATCTCATTTAAAGAGCTGTCTTTGAACACAGGATTTCATTCAGAAATATATACTGCCTTCAATATTGTAGTTCTTGGAAGACGTCGAAAACATTTTGAACTTTGCAATATTTGAATATGCAGAGTTGAACGAAAATACGACTTTCGCCCTTTTTATGACCATACTTTGACCGCTTTGCGGGAAACACTAATTCAAAAATTTGGAGTCATTTATGAAAAAGGTTAAAATGTTGTTAAAGTAATAAGTAATCATTATCACGTCAAGGTCTCACAAGCTTCATTATCGTTTAAATCTCCGATTTTTCGAAAATTGCAAAAATTCAAATTTTTTGAGCGGCTTCCTACAATTTCCATATTGAAGACAGATATTTTTTCTTTAATGCAATCTGTTCTTCAAAAATAGATCTTTAAATAAGACCATGAACATTTTTTCGAAAACATGGATTGGGTTTTTAATTTTTTGCTTGAAATATATGTATCTAAAAATAGCAAAATGGCTGCAAATTTTTTCTCAAATTTTTTCCCTCGGATAGAGCAAATTCAAAAATTTGCAGGTTTCATTTTCGTTGGACTCCCTGAATTTTCTAAAACTTCATAAGCTAGAAAAATGGAAATTATGTACTATTACACATCACTAGTTAATATTCTTGGTATGCAAAGGACCGTTAAACAGAATACACACTACTATATTATTTGAGTTTTCTCAAATATGTTGTTGTTAAAATATTTAATTTATTTTAATGTTAAACGAGAGTATATAATATGTTGTTCTTGGGCAGTGTACGTGCTATATTTTGGAAAACTACTTTGCATGGTTTTATTAAGCAATATTTTTCCTTCTGCAGGCCATTAGTAGGTAATAATTTAAGTTTTTCAAAACTCAGCCTAAAGGTTTTTTGAGTCATGTCAGTAAATTGTGTGTAAAAATACAACTGTGCGAGTAACACAAATACAGAGTTTATTTCATTTATTTGTTTATTCATTTATATGATATTATATTATACGTTCAAATATAGTTTAAACTGCGTAGTAGTGATGAAAGCAGCTGCAATAATAATAATAATAATAATAATAATAATAATAATAATAATAATAATAATAATAATAATAATATTAATAATAATAATAATAATAATAATACAGTAAAATATGTCAAAACCGGAACCTGTACAACCCGGAAACCTACCTTAACTGGATAAGGAGCAAAAGTCTTCACTCCCTAAACCGGAACTTTTTGTCCCGATTCCGACTTAGATTTTACTGCATAAAGTGACTAATATGATAAAAAAAATATAAGTAAGTATTGTTGCTGTAGCTTTCAAAATACACGCTCTTTATTGCGCTCTCATTGAGGGTCCCCGCGTTTAGCCCTAATTCATGTTGCAGCGAAAGGAAATTACGAGAGGTGGCTAGCAGGCTCTCTCCCTCTGTGAAGCACGAGACCGAGTGGTGAAGCCAAGGAAACCGGAGGGATGCGGAGTGTTTAGTGTTTGGTGTGGCGCGGGCAGGCCTACCTTGTGCTTGACGGTGTCGGCCTGCAGGTGATGTGCGCAGAGCGCGCCCTGGGCGTTGCGCAGCACCGCGCGGCGCCTGCGCACCGCCAGCACGGCCACCAGCAGCGCGGCCACGCCCAGCGTCAGCACCGTGCCCGTGAGCAGCGCGGCCAGCGGCACCACGTTCAGCCCCGCGCCGCCCTCGCCGCCCGCCGCCTCTGCATACAGCACGTCCCCGTCGCGTCCACACGATGCGTCTGACGCATGCGTTTCGGGCACGCGTATTTTTTCCACAAGAAAAGGACACATGCTATACCGCACGGCTTCTCGTAGGAGATGGGAATCTCGTGCGTTGTGACGGTGCCGTTTTCTACAAAGAACTCAGTGTGTAGCCTTTAAAACAATGAGCAAGCATTTCCAACCTTATTTAGTTGTCTGAGCACCAGATCTGCGTTTGAGTCTGATTGATCTGTCAGATCTTGTCTGACGTCTTGTGGAAAGTAAGGGCACAGCCTTGACTATAATGGAGTTTCCAGTAATTAGTTAACTTGTAGATTAATGTAGACTGTTAGAGACTGAGGTTTGTTTGCTTTTACCACCCATATGGAAGAGGGAAAATCCAAATAATTTATTAGTGCGTCACTGATGTTAATTAAAAATCATGCATAATGCAAAAATAAGTTATTGTATTAAAGCAGATACTACTTAAAATACTTCATTTCAAACTTTGATTTATCGTTTAATAATTGAATACATTTAAAAATTATGGTATTTCAGTTTTTGGGTTTAGTACAAATTATAGTATTTCAGTAAATTTTTCACGGGTTCAGCTAGTTATCTTAAATACGTATTGCGATTTTCATAATCATATTACAAATTTATTATTGCAACATTTACAAAATGTTTAGCATTTGACATTCAGTAAGCATTCAATGACGAATTTTTAATATCCCCACTGAATAAAAGAAAATACATATTCTAGTACTTCTCTAGAAATTAGTTATTGACATCTGATGTAACATTGTATAAATATGCATCATCAGATGCATTGTATAAATGACATTAATGAGATTTGATCCGTCCTCTATTTTTATTGGCTGACCATGACAAACACGATCACAAAATTTAGCAGCAATTTGCATTATTATGTTGTGGACAATGTGGAAATATCAAAAGAAATATTGAATTATTTTGAAACGTTTTGTACATCATGATGAAACGTTCTGCATACTCCAATGACAGTAGAAAGAAAATACTGGAGACTTTTCAAGCGAAAGAAGGTATGACTTGGCTGCAGCTTGAGAAAAATAAGTGAAGCAAAGGAGAGAAAAGTACAGGGAGGGAGGGATATTGAAAGGTAGGAAAAGTTCCCACTTGGAAGATGATAAAATCCTGTAAGAGAATGACAGAGGGACGGCCAGGACGAAGAGAATCCAGTCATCATACAATTAACCAGTGGTGATCAGGAAGATGGCGGTGTGGGACGAAGGCCCGCCTTCTTTTGCATGCCTGCATTAGCGCCGTACCTGTGCGCTTCTCGGCGTCCTTGAGCGTGATGTCCTCGAGCACGGTGGCCTCGCTGCGGCCCTTCTGGTTGGCGGCGTAGATGACGATGTGCAGCGTGGGGTTGCGCGCCGGCAGCAGGTCGGCCAGGTCCAGGCGGAAGACGGCGGCGTCGGGCACCACGCTCGTCACGTTGAGGCGCAGGCGCATGGAGCGCGACTCGTACGCCTCCAGGTAGAAGGCCTGCCGCAGGCCGCCGTCGTAGCCCGCCACGCACTCCACGTCCAGCACGTCTGCGCTCTGGTTGCTGGAGGAGCGCAGGGTGCAGTTGCGCAGCGGGGCAGGCCGCACTGCGAACACACGCCCACGCCCCGGTCGCTACAGGCACGCGTGTGGGATGACGTGGTCTCGCGGCGCTTCTACTACTATGGTCTTTAGACCGTGAGCGTAGTGTTGGTTTGATCGCGGGAGATGACAGTGTTCCTCTCCCGAAGGAACGTGGGAACACGGCGTCGATCTAGACGACGGCTTGCGGAGGTTTCCCTTCCAGGTATCTTCGCTAGCCAATTACCGCCTCAACTGGACAAGCTTTAAGCTCCCGATTAATCTTCCGAGATGTGCGGTTGTATGGTGCATTGAAGTGTGTAGGGGAAGCGGATGGGACAAGAAAGAGGAAAGGAAGATCGTGCGCGATCTGTGGGGTTTTGTTCCGGCATTCGCCTTGAATTGAAGTGAGACTCCACGGAAAAGTCTCCTACCTATGAGAAGAGCTGGCTGATAGAATTTTCTTACAGACAGCGGTTGAATTTGACCCAACTATCTAGATAGTGTCCGTCGTGTTTTCTATCCTATGACCAATCCTGGACAGCACCACTACAGAGGCAATGGCAATTGTCTCACTTCTGAGTTAACTCAGCTGGCATAGGCGCCAAAAAGAAAACAGGGGCCTGGAGCAATTGATCGACGGGGGCCTCTCGTTTCAAACAAAACTTTCCCTCTTCCCCTTTTCATAAACAAAATTCATATCTTCCAACCTTTGTGAACGTACATGCTTTCGAAACGCTGTGCAGCTCCTAATGAGACTAATACTGTGTATTTTCAAAATGAAATGTCAAGAAAGTATGCAATCAAATGACTGAAGTTGACCGTCTTTACCAACCTTTCTGCTTAACAAGGCAGCTTTTCATGGCATACATATCGCCGTGAGATCTGTCGCGTAGAAATAAAGATTTGACTGGAATCAAAACGTGAAGTCAACGTCGTCTTCAGTCATTTAAACACCATGTAAAGATTGCAAGAAATCCACCTGCTATTAATGATCCGCCTGGTTCGAGACTACATCTTCCAAGAAGGACGTTGTTGGAATCAAGAAATTTCAGAAATATATGAATGACGTGAGTTGTGATTGCTAGAGTAACCACCTATTTCGAGACATTGAAGACGGTATCCAGAGCGAGCCTCAACTATTGGGCGGGTTGCCGATGGCTGTTAGCGAATGATCTCTAAATATACAGACTAGGGACAGTGAAGGCAACGGCAATGATTCTGGAGTCCCTCCGGCGCAAAGGAGGCTAGAGTGTGTGAGTGTGAATGGTAGCGATTCATTGAAAGCCACGGAAACTCTACCTAGCACCCTGGCGATTAAGCACCGCCATTAAATTGGCGCTGCTCCCGCTGCCTTGCGGATAGGGATTAGATCTAAGTTAAGGGAAGGAAAACCCTGACAGAAAACGGATAGAGAGTACTCTGGAAGATGCAGTGAAGCCAATCTCTCTACGGGAGTAAACCCTATACATATTCTAGCCCCAGATTGGGCGTTGGTTATTGGGCTAACAACCCATACCGTCAAATGGTCGCTGTTCAGAAACTTAGAAGTTATAGCTATATAGTGAAAGTAAGATGATCATGTAATCGTCAAAAGGAACATGACTTATATTTTGGTATTATATTACCTTTGAATAGAACTGGAGTCCTAAGTAATCTTATGGAAGCCTTAAGGAAATGTAGTGGATATATTAGCAATGCAAGAAGTGGGATGGAAGGAAGAAGGAATAAAACAATTTGGAAGGTACATTATCTGCTAATGTAGTGCAATCAATCCAAGTAGTGAAAGATTGAGATTCACTGTTAAGAGATAACTGCAATTAGCTATTATATCAAGAATATGTTCGCTACGAAATAGAGGAAAATTCTGTAACTCCACGTTTATTAACTTACATGCCCCGTGACGGAGGATAGAGATGTTAACGTAAACTCTCATTTTATGATAGGTTGGAATGAATATATAAGACAACTAAATTTGATATTAAGATGGTATTAAGCGGTTTCAGTGCACAAATGAGGAAGGTTATGTTCTATGTGATGCATTTAGGATCTAGGATTTTAGAAATTAGGAATTTAGGAACTTTTTCCGTCCCCGCAGATTCTAAATGAGCCCAGAGAGAACACATTAGGCACGTTACCCATACCTCTTATACAGCTTTGAAAATTTACAATGCAAAACATGCCATCTGCTCTTCTTCATCTGGGAGAGACGATATTCCTGGTATAACTTCCAACTCGGAGGAGCCAGACGACACGTCGTTCTCTTCCTCGCGGAAGGAGGAATCTTCCTTTTGCTTTTTGTGTAACTTCAGAATTTTCTTAAATATCTCTCTTTTCGAATTCTCTGGGATTCTAAAATTGTTTCGTCTATCAGCTCTCTCGAACTGATAGGATTCAGAATAGGCTCTTGCTTTTCATTACACTCCTAAATTATAAGGAGTGCCAAATACCTTATTATTTTTATTTTACAAGACGAAAAAGTGGGGGCTTGCGTTAGAAGCCTTTCGAGGGGCTCGAATTAGGCACCAGCGTATTTATATTTCAAGTCCCAATAACATTTTTACAAGGCAAGTAAAATACATTACAATACTCTAAATCAATAGCTTGTAATGCTACCTTCAAAATGATGTAATGGTTAGAAGACTCACCGGTGAAGTAGCGAAATCAGGCAACTGAGAATAAGAACTTGAAAAAACTTTCCTTTTCAGTGTTCGGACTAATGGCCGACTGTCTGGCAACAAGTAAAAATGAAGCCTCTACCGCTTGACTGGGCCTCGTGATTTCAAAGAACTACTAATTGATTAAGTTTCCAATAGGCAACGTCATTCTACAGAGCTGTAAATCAAGGGGCTTGCATTAGAAACCGGATCCGGGTTTGGGAACGTTCCTCTACGGAATATTAAGATAAATTCTAACGGAACAATTTTGAATAGAACAGTGCAAATTTTGGCAACTCACGCAGTTGACGTAGTAACACTTATTTATAAAACACTGAAAGGCATGGAAGAAGCATGACAAAAATTGATGCTCGAAGCGAGAGTTTGGGAATAAATAAAAGGGAAAACTATATGAGAACAACAAAAATAAATATCAGTAAACCAAAATATATGAAAGCTAGCTAGATGTAGTACGAAGTCAGGAAACAAAAATATTGAATGGGTGAATGACATCGAATGCTAAGTTTCCCCAATCACAGAAAACAATGCCATAGAAGAGGACATAAGGAAGAGAATAGCACAAGGTAATAGGTGTTATAGTAGTATCTACCAAATCTCTAAAACCCGAAGAATATCAAAGATCGCTAAGTTGACATTATATAAAATCACAATTAAGCCAGTGGTATTGTTCGGTAGTGAAACTTGAGTTCTAACAATCAGCAAAAATGCTGATCCGATTGTCGAGATCACTAAGACAGTAGTACCGTAGTAATCTCGGACCGAAGTATCGCGGGTCCGAGTCTCATTTCGGATATGGTTGTTTTTATGTTCATCCTTTCAACCCCCATTACAACCAAATCATTTCATATATTATCCGTTCACTCTAAGAAAAAAACCTGATGTAAACAAACTGAAGAAATCTTTGCGCCCTACAACGCTTCTGATTGGACAACTCCGAGCGCACTACTTTCGATTACGCGAGCAGCAAACCCCGCCAACTTAAATTGAATAAAAGCTGTCATGCAAATGTCATGCTCATGCAACTACTTTACTTACGATCAGTCTACTCCAGGAAGTGATTGTCAATAACCGGATGTTGTCAATTATTTTTTAAATTGATTTCCCTAAAATTAGGAAGTTCTTGATCACAATTCACAAGCTGCAACAATTCCGCAAGCGTTGGTGTTTCGTTTCTGCACTTTTGATGCAAGGAATGAACTTTCGGTCGAACAGCACTGAATACAAAGTCATCGTATGCTTCAATCACCGTTTCTTCCCCTTTCTTTTCTTCTCTGGCGTTTGTGGTTGTGAGTGAACTCTGCGATTTGCTTCACCAGTAACGACTGATTCCCATGCAATAACGAATTGAAAACGTGTAGAACGATGCATTTTCCGCTACTCCGAAGGAAATTTCCTCACTTGTGTATAATTATTGAAGGGACAGCCACACCCTCAGACATTCTAAAACGATCTGAATTGCCGGGACTCGCAAGCCGATCGGCGGTGCAGCGCTGCGGTCCCACGAGCCGCGTCCCACGCGCCGGACCCGTGTCGATCAGCACGCTCGTGGACTGAACTATCAGAGATTCGTAACCTCATCGCCCAGCAACACGCATTCAGTTCACAATGGACTCCTTTCTCGAAACCATTGCAATACTTTTGCCGCAAGGTTAATTTAACGAGCAATGTCATACAAATTAGTTCTTAAGCAGAGAAGTATTTACTTTAGCGACAGGATCCAGACAAGCACAAGCAGAGCACACACACAAGCAGAGCTCACACTGCAAGCCAATGAGAATCATCCTACCACATGTGCATTTGTTTACATCAGGATATTTCTTAGGGTTAACGACGGCACAATAGTTCACAGTTACCCATGACGTTAAAACCAATAGATGTTGATGCGACCTTAAATAACAAAAAAAACAACAACAACAGCAAACACTCGCTGTATGGGAGAAACAATCTGACAAAAAATCTGGAGAAGCCGAACCTACAGAGAATTGGAAGAACTATTGAAATCACCCAAAATATTTGCATGCATTTAGGTGAAAAGACTAATTGGGTCACTTAAATCGAATATGTTGGGAAAAGACTATTCAGTTTTATGAACGCGCTCCAGCAGTCCACCTTAGGACTGCCTCTGTGTGCTCACACGGTGCAGTTCATTAGTGGCCGTGGAGACGTATAGACGAGGTGACGAGGAACGTATAGACGTAGTGTGATAGTGATTCTTGTTAGAAAACAATTATAGACAATAATACTGGATTGAGGATCCAATGAACGAAGAGAGAGACGTTAGAAAGGTATATTTAGGGAACATTGCCCGTAGGGGAAATCTATGTGTTAAAAGAAGGCGTTGAAACGCAGATAATAGAAGAAATTGGGCGATTATAATCAAAGAAGCCAAGGCAAAATTATCAGCGCCGGAAAGCTGACAGAAGAAGAAGGCAGTTGATCAATTCACTGGGATCTGATAAGCGGAAAATCGAAAAATCTGCTATCACTTTACGAAGCCGTCACTTGTTGCTTTACAACCATGCTGTAGAGTCGCACGTGAAGGAACGCAAGGAAGCGCTTCAGTTGTTTGGATATCGACACACAAGAAATTCTCGATTCACAGCCAAAGGAAGGAGATGATGTTGATAACTCTTGGGTGTTAGGAAGAAATTAATAACACAACATACAATCACAGCTAAATGAATCAATTTCTTGGGATGGATAGAGATGGTACATAAGAGGAATCGGTTATTGATAAAGAACTAAGGAAAATAATTTGCCTTACAAATCCTTGCAAACCATAATGGTGATTTTACAAATTCTGACGAGAAATTTTATTGAATATTAATGTAATTTCAACATCCAACTATAGCACTTTGCATAGAAAACTTGCGATATATAGCCGCAAAAGCACTTCTGTGATGAAGTTGTACTCTATACGATATACAGCATAGTCCCAATTGTCAAGGTATTGAAAGATGACACCTTGTTTTCGAAGTTGCTTTTATTGTACTACAGTTTCGAATAACGATAGGTCTGCAACTAAAATACCGCAGGGTCGAGTATTTGCACTGATGAATAGAACAGTCGATTCATATCTTTGCCGTTGTGTAAGTAACAATACGTTCGCTTTCTTCAATGAAAAACCGAGTCTGGATCGTCATGAATTTCCGCGTCGACGAACACTCGCGAATTAGTACTGGCAGGAGACAGTG